AGGTACGAGACATGGTCCCGGCCCTGAATGTGCCCCTCTACCTTCCGTAGCCCGAGTCATGGCAGTACTCATGAGATCGCGAGCTCAAGAAACTGATGACGATGAGGTTGCACCCATGGGACCGCTAGAGTTTCAGGCTGAACGCTGGAGACGGATTAAGCTTCACCAAGAGGAAGACGAGTATCTAGCGGAGATAAGGGCGTTCCTGAATGACGACCTGGATAGGTTCTCATCCACGCGGTTGAAGAAGATCAGCAAGGTCGCAGATCTGTTCGTTCTGGATGACCGCGGAGTGTTGTACAGACTTCCACACTCTGTTCGTGGAAGACCACGAGACGCCGTGGATAATCTGAGGTTGGTAGTCCCGAGTTCACTCCCATGTTGCATCACGCGCATGAAGACTTCCAAGGTGGACACCAAGGGATCACTCTGACTCACGAGAAGTTACGTACCGAGTTCGACTGGCCCGGCATGTATGCGGACGTCCAACATTTTGTGAAAGAATGCGTGGATTGTGCCAGTGGAAAAGGGGCGCCCCCGAATGCTGAACCTTCGCCAGGAAACATTGAACCACGGTATCCCTTTGAAGCAGTTTCTATGGATTTCGTTACTCATATGCCCGAGTCGGCTAGAGGGAATACGTTTCTCTTGTTGTTTCAGGACATGTTTTCAGGTTACGTGATGTGTAAGCCCATGTCATCCACTACCGCTCAAGATGTCGCTGAGGCCTATGAGGAGCAAGTGTTTCAGAGATTCGGAGCGTCTTCCATGATACGGCACGATCAGGATCCGCGTTTCATGAGTGAAGTGTTCACAAGGTTCCGAGAACTCTTAGGTAGCCGACAACGTGCTACACTCGGATATCGTCCGCAAGCGAATGGGCAGCAGGAAAGATCCGTGCAAACAGTCATTCGGAGTGTTCGGGCATATGTTGCTGAGATGGATCAATCCGACTAGGATGATCACTGATGTTCGCCTTGAATGTCTCGTTCGACGCGACTAGACTGGGCACCCCTTTCTATTTGGTTCATGGTTGGGATGCCCGAAGCACGGTCTCGGCAATGTTAGGGCCGAAACCTTCGAGCGCTCCTGAGCGTAGTGCCTATGAATGGCGACGGAAATTACAGTGTGAATACAGCTACGCACTCGCTTGCGCTGAGGATCTCCAGAAGAAGGCCAAGAAGATGCGCTCGGACGAACAAACCCGAAAGTGGTTGGAACTCTCAGAGAGGGTCAAAGCTGGTTTTGAGAAGGGCGACTCCGTTTGGTTGTATATCCCGAAAGTCCAGACTGGATTGAGCCGGAAGTTGGCACACATGTGGCACGGGCCATTCAGGATCGATGAAATTCGGGATGACTTCCGTGTGAAGCTGAAGTTGAAAGATACAGGGTATCGTGTTAACCCTTGGGTACACATTAGCCGACTCAAGTCCAGAGTAGTTTTCCTAAAGAGACCAACAGTTGAGGTTGATGTCGATGACGATTTCGATGCGGCACTGGTGCCTGAAGACAGTTGGGAGCCCGACAGCTTGAATGATGTATTCGAAGTGGAGTCAATTCAGGATGTACGATGGGTGAAACGCACCCGAACTGCGAGACGATCCCGAGAATACCTCGTCA